CTCCAAAACTAAGGTAGCACCTCTCAAGCGGCTCTCAATCCCGCGACTTGAACTCACGGCTGCTCTTCTGCTCCCTCGGCTCATGCAATACGTCAAAGCCACTTTGAACATGGACGTAACGGCAACTCATATGTGGACGGACTCTCTAGTAACACTCTCGTGGATCAGATCTCATGCATCACGCTGGAAGGATTTGTTAGATACAGGGTGGCTCAAATTGAAGGACTCACTCCAGCTGCTCACTGGAGATACATACCTGGAACTTCCGATCTGGCTGATGGCGCATCACGAGGCCTCACGACTGCTCAACTTCCAAGTCAATCACTTAGGTGGACGGGACCACCATGGATACTCAACCCAGACTCATGGCCGTCGCAACCTGCACTCTCTGACGAGATGAGTGCAACAGAAGCTCGCCCAGGCGTTTCGCTATTGACGGTTACGCCAAGGACTGAATATCAATGGGAACTCATCTACAGGTACTCAAGCCTCACTAAACTATTGAGGATTACAGCTCTCTGTTTCAGATTCGTCTCACGGTTGAGGAAAGTCCACGACTCATTTCCTGTCAGACACATCTCTCCAGAGACCTTGGAGAAAGCGAGGCTCTTCTGGATTCAGGCAACTCAAGCAACGTACTTCTCGCACGAGCTCAAGGCATTACAGGCAGACTCACCGCTGGCAAAGGCACACTCATTCAACCGATCAACTGCGTACATCGACGCTCAAGGAGTCATTCGCGTCGGCGGACGACTCGCTCACTCAGCTCTCTCACTCGATGCGACACATCCTGTAATATTGCCTCATCACTCTCAGCTATCATCATTGATCATCGCTCACGCTCATCAACGGACTCTACATGAAGGCACGCAGCTTACGCTGTCGCACATCCGACATTAATACTGGATTCTCGGCGGGAGGGCTCCTGTCAAGTCTCACATCCTGCGGTGTGTCACGTGTGCTCGGCAGAGGGGGATCCGTGCTCATCAATTGATGGGCCAACTACCTCTCTCTCGGGTTACGCAGGCACGACCGTTCACTCATACAGGTGTGGACTACGCAGGGCCACTCACCGTCAAAACATGGAAAGGAAGAGGTGCCAAGACCACTAAAGACTGGATTTACGTTTTCGTCTGCTTCGCAACCTCAGCAGTACACCTCGAGGCGGTTAGTGATTACTCAACGGAGGGATTCATTGCCACCTATCGACGCTTCTCATCCAGACGCGGCATCCCTCACACCTTACAATTTCATCGGCACGGATACGGCTCTCAAACGGCTCTTTATCCAGAGCACTCAAGAACATCAGCGAGTTTCTCACCTGCTCTCGCAAGATAACACCCGATGGGAATTCAATCCCCCTGCGACACCTCACAAGGGAGGAAAATGGGAGGCCGTCGTAGAATCAAAGATACCAACTACGGCGCACCATTGAAGAAACCGTACTCACCTTAGAGGAACTCACCACATTGCTCACTCAAATTGAGGCAATTCTCAACTCGCGACATCTCTAATCATTGAGTGACGACTCAGAAGACATCTCAGCACTCACGCCAGGCCACTTCCTCGTAGGAAGTCCGCTCACCGCTATACCAGAGCCCTCACTCACCGACCTGGCAATCTCAAGACTCTCTCGATGGCAGCTCATCCAGCAGAAGGCTCAACATTTCTGGACACACTGGGCAGCACATTACCTACAACGACAACAAGCCATCTCAAAGTGGCACCACAGGAACAACGAGATCAAGATCGGATCATTGGTGCTCATCACCGACGAGCGGCTACCGCCATGCAAATGGCCGCTAGCCCGGATCACGGCTCTACATCCTGGGAAGGATGGTCTCGTGCGGGTGGTGACCCTGAAGACAGCCACTACCACTCTCATCCGACCAG